TATACTTTGTTTGTTGGGTATTTGCTATTATAAATATGTATATCTTATATGCTTGGTGTGTGACAATCTTAGAGTTTACACCAACAAGGGAGACCAAGGGTTTAAAGGTATAACATAAGGTTATAGCTATACACAAAGAAAACCTTGGATTACACTTTGGGTTTGAGTGATTCATATATTGAGAGTTAGAGAGGCAGGGAAACACTTGGGTAGAAAATAAGGTTGTTCTTAGGCGCCTTCAGGGTTGTTCTTGGGAAACTGAAGGCAAATGCTACTTTCTTGTAATTCATCTGTAATCTCTTGTAACAACTTTCTGAGTATAGTGAATTAGAGAGTTGCTCTTTCCTTCAAAGTGGATCGTTTGATCGAAATAGATAAACAAACCTACAGTTTTTCTTGGCTTATTCTATTATATTATCTGTGCACAAATTATTATTGCTGAAGACCATTTATTTTGGTTGCTATTGTTCTTTGCCTCACAAATTGATATTGAATTTTATTGTAATTCACAACCACCATTATTTCCTTCATTAGATGATGACTCTTACAAATTCATAAACACATACTCATTATATAATTTTTCTAATGAATTTTTCACCTTGTTTATATTTTCTTTTGCAACTTCTTCAAGTTAATATATCATGGAAAATATATATTTACCCTATGAAATTTACACCTAGGATCTAAAACACTAGCTATAGCCATAAATAAATAATATTTTCCCCAATATTTGTCAAACTTTCTGTTCATTGGAGCCACCATCCCTGTCATGAATGGGTATTCATCTTCACTTGCGTTATCAATCACTTGTTTCACCCTTCAAACTTCAGCAAGATATAGCTTAAAAGTAGGATACTTACTACCTAAGATCATATGAGTATCTAGATTAAACACTTATAAGAAGTTTGTAACCTTTGTCAACTTTCTTCCAATCTTCAAGCGTAGGTGCATAATTATAATGTTGTCTCTTTCCTTATAATCTTTGAGGACAATTTTAAACTTTGAAGCAGTTGACAACATAAGATATGTTGAACTCCATCTTGTTGGGCAATCAACAATAAGCTTCTTATATTTCAAACTTTTTTACTCAACAATATTATAAAAAGTCTTTAACCTTGAATAGATATTATGGTTAACATATTTCACAATTTCATAAATTTTAAAAATAATATCTTTAAGCTTTCTTAGGTTAGATTTACACTAACAAATTTAAAATGTGTGTGCATCACCTAACATGAAATAAAGCACCGTTGAGAAACAACTTTCTACTTAGAGATACGTTCTCATTGACCATTCTTATACATGAATCATTGTAAACAACATTGTCAACAAATATATAATTTTTTTTCCAATCCTCTAACCTTTCAAACATTTAAAAATTGCACCTGCTACGTCAATTCCACGCCTTGGTGCATGTACGTTCATAAAATTAAAAGCTCTCTTTTTAAGCTTCCATCCAACATCAATAAAATTACCAATGATAACCTTATATTCAACTATTTGGTGGCTTGTTCTTCACATATTTGTAGTTAAACTAATCTTACTCTCACCCATCAATAAATACTTCAAGTTTTACTTTTATGCCTCATATATAATGCTAAATAATCTTCTATTGCAGTTTTACGAGAAAACTTACAAAATCTCAAATTTTCATATTGAAAGCTCCACATACAAACTTCATCCTCAACATTGCTAAAAGGAAATTCATGAACCAAAATTGAAGTGACAATTATTTCTCTCATTTTATCATTACACTATCTAACACTAAAAGTGATAAAAGGATTATCTATATTAGAAAACTTAAACTAAATGATATGATGCTTTTCTTCCTTAGCCTTATGCATCTTTTTTAAAATGCAAATATTAGCATGCCTTCTCAAGTGACTAGTACTTGATCCATTACCTTCATAAGAATGTGCTTTTTAAAATATCTACATATAATCTTTGAACTCAAGCGAAATTTGTTATCTACAAGTATGTGTGATGATCTAGGCTATTGTACTAGAGTTGAACGTGGAGTGTTGAAGATTTTGCAAGAAGAATTGATTATTTCTAAAGGGTATAAAATATGTGGTCTATATATTTTAGAAGGTTCAAATGTTATTATTCATTCATCGTTAACTAGTAGAGGCTTTCGTGACAGGAAGAGCTATGAGAGTTGAGTTTAAGGCGTTATGAATGCCTTGAGAAAGTTTTAGAGGAGTACAATGAATTTTGCAGAAATCAAGGGATAAAAATGCATGTTACCGCCAAGTTGATATTGAGTTTTTAGGGAAGAGATGAGGCTAAAACAACTTACTTGTTTGGTAGGGAATTTCTTCAGATGAAGAATAGTGAAAACCAAGGGAGAAATATGAGAAAAACTATAATGGAGAAAACTCAGTTTGAGGTGGAATTTCCTACTATAGATGCTAGCAGTAGTGAGGGAATAGTTACATAGATCTCTGATTATCATTTGACTCATGATAAGGTAAGGAGGGTTATTGTAGCATTTCAAAGGGACGGTTATGCTAGCCTTGGATATTATGTTTTTAATATCGTTTAAGGACTGCAAAATAAAAGAAGAAAAACCTTCAGAGAGGCATTTGAAAACAGGTGGAGTTAAGGGTGGTTGAAAAATCATACTTGTAGACTTGTTAAATTACCTAGGAAGAAAAGGATAATTGGGAACAAGTGGATGCAAGTTGCGAGATCAAGATTCAAGAGTTGCTTGAATTTAATAAAAGTTATCGATTAAAGTTTCAACATGGTAGAGAGCAGCAATGTTAATGATTGAAAAATTGGTACCAACATGATTTAAAGTCAAGGTGGACATTGTTGTAAATGTGCCTTAAAACCTTTATTGATGAAGAGAAATAAAACATATTTTGGAGATTGCATTTACCGCAAAAGTCACACGAAAAGTCGAAGAAGAAAAATCAATCGGTGAATAGTATCGTCCGTACAGTGAATAATATTTCGAGTTTTCAGACTTTTTTTGATTTGGTTCATGGATCCATGTGATTTTGGACTTTGTTTATTTGGTATTTGCTATTATAACTATGTATCTCTTATATGCTTGATGTGTGACAATCTTAGAGTTTTCACCAACAAGGGAGACTAAAGGTTTAAAGGTATAGCATATGGTTTCATCTATGCACAAAGAAAACCTTGGATTACACCTTGGGTTTGAGTGATTCATATATTGAGAGTTGGAGAGGTAGGGAAATACTTGAGTAGAAAGTAGAGTTGTTCTTGTATGCCTTTAGGGTTGTTCTTGGGAACCTGAAGGCGAAAGCTATTTTCTTGTAATTCATCTGTAATCTCTTGTAACAACTTTCTGAGTATAGTAAATTTGAGAGTTGCTCTCTCCTTCAGAGTAGATCGTTTGATCGAACTGGGTAAGCAAACCTTCGGTTTTTCTTGCCTTATTCTATTATATTATCTGTGTACGAACTATTATTGCTGAAGACCATTTATTTTGGTTGTTATTATTCTTTGCCTCATAAATTGATATTGAATTTTGTCGTAATTCACAACCACCATTATTTTCTTCATTAGATGACGACTCTTGCAAATTCATAAACACATACTCATCATATAATTTTTCTAATGAATTTTTCACCTTGTTTATATTTGATTTTGCAACTTCTTCAAGTTTATATATCATGGAAAAAGATATATTCACAATATGAAATTTGCACCAAGGATCTAAAACACTAGCTATAGCCATAAACAAATAACATTTTCCCCAATATTTGTCAAATTTTTTGTTCATTGGAGCCGCCATCCCTGTCATGAATGGGTATCCATCTTCACTTGTGTTATCAATCACTTGTTTCACCCTTCAAACTTCAGTAAGATATAGCTTAAAAGTAGGATACTTACTACCTAAGATCATATGAGTATCTAGATTAAACACTTATAAGAAGTTTGTAACCTTTATCAACTTTCTTCTAATCTTCAAGTGCATGTGCATAATTATAATGTGACTCTCTTTTCTTATAATCTTTGAAGACAATTTTAAACTTTGAAGCAATTGACAACATAAGATATGTTGAACTCCATCTTGTTGGGCAATCAATAATAAGCTTCCAATATTTCAAACTTTTTTGCTCAACAATATCACAAAAAGTCTTTAACCTTGAATTAATATTATGATTAACATATTTCACAATTTCATGAATGTTAAAAATAATATCTTTAATCTTGCTTAGGTTAGATTTACACTAAAAAATTTAAAATGTGTGTGCATCACATAACATGAAATAAAGCACCGTTGAGAAACAACTTACTACTTAGAGATACGTTCTCATTGGCCATTCTTAGACATGAATCATTGTAAACAACATTGTCAACAAATACAGAAAAACTTTGTTTTCCATCCTCTAAACTTTCAAACATTTAAAAATTGCACCTGCCACGTCTATTTCATGCCTTTGTGCATGTACGTTCACAAAATTAAAAGCTCTCTTTTGAAGCTTCCATCCAACATCAATAAAATGACCAGTGATAACCATATATTCAACAATATATTCAACTATTTGGTGGCTTGTTCTTCACATATTTGTAGTTAAACTAACCTTACTCTCACCCATCAATAAAGACTTCAAATTTTTCTTTTATGCCTCATATATAATGCTAAACAATCTCCTATTGCGGTTTTACGAGAAAAGTTATGAAATCTCGGATTTTCATATTGAAAGCTCCACATACAAACTTCATCCTCGGCATTGCTAAAAGGAAATTCAAGAACCAAAGTTGAAGTGACAATTATTTCCCTCATTTTATCATTATATTATCTAACTCTAAAAGTGATAAAAGGATTATCTATATTAGAAGGCTTAAACTGAATGATATGATGCTTTTCTTCCTTAGCCTTATGCATATTTTTTAAAATACAAATATTAGCATGCCTTCTCAAGTGACTAGTACTTGATCCATTACCTTCATAAGACATGCGCTTTTTAAAATATCTACATATAATATTTGAACTCAAGCAATTTTTTTTATCTATAAGCATGTTTGATGATCTAGGCTATTGTACTAGAGTTCAACATGGAGTGTTGAAGATTTTGCATGATGAATTGATTATTGCTAAAGGGTCTAAAATATGTGGTCTATATATTTTAGAAGGTTCAAATGTTATTATTAATTCATCATTAACTAGTGGAGGCTTTCATGACAAAGAAGAGCTATGGGATTTGAGTTTAAGGTGTTATGAATGCGTTGAGAAAGTTTTAGAGGAGTACAATGAATTTTGTAGAAATCAAGGGATAAAAATGCGTGTTACCGCTGAGTTGTTATTGAGTTTTTGGGGAAGAGCTGAGTTGTTATAGAGTAAGTTGATCCACCCAACCACACACCCACACACACCCACAACACACCCACACATGCACACACATCCATACACACCCACGAACACAGACGCACCCGCCCACCCACATACAGACGCACACACACATGCACACTCGCACCCACACGTACACGCATACCCACACACACATATGCACACGCGCACACACACACATGCATATATTTATAGGAAATTTTTATTTAAAAAGATTAATTTTTTTCTTCTTTTGAATACTATTGTTTTTAAATCATTGAATATGATTATTTATAATTTTTATATGTCTTTTAAGATTTTACAAAAATTAATTATATATACTTGTTTATAAATTACTATAATATTTTGGATTACACATAAATATGTTATAAAAGTTCTGATATACTTTATAAAAGTTGTACAAAAGTTCTGTTTCTAAAAAGTGAGAAAAGTACTTAAATAGTTATTACAAAATCTGTCATGTTCGCCCAACGAACACCTTCTTCACCCAGCAAGGTCCACGTTTAGGAACTTCAAATGCCTTTGATTAGTTAAACTGCCCTTGGAAAATATCTGAGTACACAGTGTGAGCACTTCTTCTCACAACGAAGCTCTTCGCTACAGATCCTCCAGCGAACTTTGGATTGTTTTCCTACTGTCTCTAATCTGGGCTGGTTCACTGGGGCTTCTCTAAGACCTGCACAGCGAGCAATCGCTTTCACCTCGTTGTTGTTCGCATAACGAACATGCTGATTCCTCTTTATTTCCTTGGCTTTCTTGTCCAATCATTTGTGTCTTAATCATTGATGTTTTATGCCTATATTCTGCGCATAACATACACATCAAAGAATCCAAAGGTATTTGTAATATAATTGAAGAATCACACAAGAAAAAGAAATAAATCTACTAAAACATGAGAATTGGGTTGAAAAATGCCAAGAAAGATGATTCAATTTAATTTAAAATTTGCACTTAACAATATGTTACAAGAACAAGTCTCAGTTGAAGACATCTTCGAGGCTATTAGCGAGTGGAAACAAGAGTCTCGGACCCAACATCTTTAACCTTAAATTTCTTAAAACATGTTGGGATGTGGTGGGGGAAAGATGTGGTTCTCTACATTCAAGAATTTCATGACACTTTTGTTCTTCCTAAGGCCCTGCTTTCATCTTTTATTGCCTTAATTCCCAAACCTTAATCCTCAAGGTTTTGATGAATATTGCCCTATCAATTTGGTGGGTTGTATATATAAGGTAATATCAAAGATCTTAGCCTCTAGGTTAAGCAAGGTAATGGGAAGATTGATATCTTCATCACAGACGATGTTTATCTCGGAGAGGCAAATACTTGATGGTGTTTTAGTTACAAACAAGGTTATTGACATAGCTAAGAGGAAGAAAAGAAAATATTTAATATTTAAGGTCTAATTTGCGCAGGATTATGATTGTGTAGAGTGGGAATCCTTGGAAATGGTTATGATGGTTATGAATTTTGGGGACAAATGGATGCAATGGCTTGAGGGGGGGGGGGGGTTAAATAACCACTTGTCGGTTTTGGTTAGTGGAGGAACTACAAAAGATTTCAAGGGATTAAGGGGTCTAAGACAAGGTGACCCCTTGTCTCCTTTTCTGTTTTTAATAGTGGCAGATGGTTTGACTTCTATGGTCAAAAGGGTCAGCGTTAATGGAATTTTCAGTGGCTTCAGCTTAAATGGGAACGATGAAGTAAATCTTATACAGTTTGCAGACGACACTATTTTAATATGTGATGGAGATTGGAAAAACTTGTGGGGTATCAAATTATTTCTAAGAGGATTTGAATTAGTATCAGGTTTGAGAATCAATTATTGGAAGAGTCGCCTTTATGGAATTGGAGTAGACAATGCGTTCTTATTGGTTGTTGCACATTTCTTATCATGTAAATAAGGGTTATTACCTTTCAAATTCCTAGGGCTGATGGTGGGTGGAAATCACAAAAGGATAGAGTTTTGGAAATTTATGGTGGAATGCTTCAAGGCCAGGTTATCCACTTGGAAAGAAAAGATTCTATCAATGGGTGGTAGGGTTACTCTTATAAATTTTGTGCTTACAAATATGTTTGTTTATTATTTCTCCTTCTACAAAGTTCTAACAAAAGTGATTAAAGAATTGACTACCATTCAAAGACGTTTTTTATGGTCTAGATCATTGGGGGAATCGTCAATGGCATGAGTTAGTTGGGCCTTTATATGTAAACCTAAAGAATATGGTGGTGTGGGGATTAAATATATAGTTATGTTCAACAAAGCTTTCTTAACCAAATGGTTGTGAAGAATATTACAAAATGAAGAAACCATATGAAAATCGGTGTTGATATTCAAATATGGCTGTTGTGATAAATTAATTTTGTCAATGCAGGATTCTAATATTGGATGATGCAACTCACTATGGTGGAGAGACACGCTGCAGATTGCTCATTCTATGCAAGCTTACTCGTTTTCAATGCAATTGGAAAGCAAATTGGGTGTTGGAAATCGTATTTCTCTTTGGCATTCTCGTTGGTTGGACTCATGCCCTCAATGCTGCAAATTTCCATATTTGTACAACCTATCTGCATTAAAACACGAGACTGTGAAAGATTTAGCTGTTTAGAGGAATACAGTTTGACAGTGGGAGTTATGTTATCAAGAGAACCTATTGGATGAAGGATTGGTTGCACAATGTAATGAGTTAAAGGAACTGCTCATGGAGACATCGCCCAGGGTAGGGGTTGTAGATGATTTTCTTTGGCCAAATTTGGTGAATAATCAATTTTCAGTGAAATCCTGCTATGAATTCATTCAACGAGCAGATGGTTCAATTTATTGGAAATTATTTCCAAGACTGCTTTAGATATATTGTGGCAATCAATGATTCCAATGAAGGTTAAATTGTTTAGCTGGAGACTTCTATTGGATAGAATACCGTCGCGATCCAATCTGGCGGCCAGGGAGTAATTTCTAATACTCATGATATTGTTTGTGTACTTTGCTTTAATGATATTGAAACAGTAGACCATATTTTTATTGCTTGCTCTAAAACTCGCTTAGTTTAGAAAGCGGTATCGGATTGGGTTGGAGTGCCATGATGCGATTGTCACAGATGTTGTGATCACTTATTGGAATGGTTCCTATATTTGGTTAGAAAAACGTCCAAGAAAACAACGTCTTTGATTTGGTTTTGTACATGTTGGCGCGTTTGATGGTTTAGAAACCAAATTATTTTTAATGATGGTTTTAATTGTGTATAAGATATAATTCACAAAATTTTTCTCAATTTTTGGTGTTGGTTGGCTTTGAGATCTAACAATATATTTTTTTTTTGTAATTATTATGAGTGGACAAAACAACCTTCTATTTTATGATGGGATTGTAGCTTGTTGGGTTTGTATCCTTTTATATATCTAGTCCCCAATATTATGTTGTAATTCTTGGTTTGGAATACTTCATGTATTCTTAATGAATATAATATTTTGTTTATAAAAAAAAATCTTTCAAAGAATAGTAGAAAATTAAACCTTAAAAAGAAAGGTATCAACAATAAGGAAAATGATACATAACAAAGGTTATAAAAAACAAATAAGCAAATTTGGATCGATTCAAAGAACATGGAATATTTTGTAAATATAATTAGTAATGCACTTTTATGTTTTGGTTGCACATTGTGGTGGCATCTTTGTTCTTTTATCTTAATTTTGACTTGTGAAGAGGTGGTTAGGTATTGGAATCTATTGATAGCATGTTAGTACTAACTTCCATAAGAGTAATGACAAAATATTTTAAAAAGAAAAAGAATCCAAGAGTTTACTACTCTCATTTATGGAATCATAATGTCTTCAATCTCAATGTATATTAATTGAATTGAATTCAACATTCAGTCATCAACACTATGACCAAGAAGAATAATTAAAAAAGAAAGAAGAATAAAATACTTCTTCTAAAATGAAATGTAAAATCCATAATGCATTATTCACGAATATGTTTTCACAATTGCTTACATTTTCTTTATTTTATTAATTTGATAGTTAAAATGTTAAGATTTTAGATTTAATAATTTGACAGTTAAAATGTTAAGATTTTAGATTTAATAATTTGATAGTTAAAATGTTAAGATTTTAGATTTAATATATCCTGTCATACGGAACAAATATCAAATTCCTATTTAAAATTGTTTAACATTTATATACTCTTAAATGATACACAATTTCATATCTATTATTTAATTTAAAAATAAAAAATCAATATTTTATATATTTTTTAAAAATATATTTAATATTATAATATTTCATTGTACACGGTGAACAATGAAATATGATGTAGGTGTAAAAAATAATGTAAAATTATCATTTTTAATATATATATATATCTATCTATCTATCTATCTATATATATATATATATATATATATATATATATATATATATATATATATATATATATATATATATATATATATATATATATATATATATATATATATATATATATATATATATATATATATATATATATATATTTTAAATAACTATATTTTTCAATTTATATACCAAAATAACTATGCTTTCAAATAAGTTACCTAAGTAATCACTTTTCAAACAAACAATTTGGAGTCGCCACTCAAATTGTCGCATACACTATAAAATTGTACCTAAGTGCCAATTAAAATGACGTATGCTTATAGTGACAACAAAAATCATAGGTAAAAGTCAATTTTTCGTAAGTATATTCTGAATCACTTATACCTACACAAGTACAACAAATTACATGTCAAAATAATAGACTTTTTATCTACGGTAAAATGCCGTAGGTATAAGTCATTCAGGATATGTCTACGAAAAAGTGACTTTTACCTACGCTTTTTACTATAAGCATGCGCCATTTCAATTGGCGTCTATGTACAATTTTATGCGCTAATTTGAGTGATGACTCCAATTTTTTCATTTGAAAAGTAGTTACTTTGGTAATTTATTTGAAAGAATGGTTATTTTGGTATA